ATACATTTGTCTATATCTATCTCGATTCGTTTTGCCTGTTACAAACAACCGTTATGTGAACAAAGTTATAATACCCTTGTGCACAAGTGCGCTCGGGTATAAAAAAGAGAAGAGAATAGAGAGAAATATGTATATGGTTTGTTGGTGCTCTCTAAACACAAACGCGTGAAAGGCAAACGGTCTAGCAACGTGTGGCATTGTTGATCAACGTAATACTTTAATTAAACATGCTTATTATTAAAATTTCATTTTAAAAATGCCACTGTTTCCTACTGTGGTAGAAATATGTCATTTTAAAACTGGAATCATAGAAATCGACCCAGTATATCGGCTGTTTTGCTCTCACGCTATTTTGGGTTTGAATTTTATATATAGTATAGATGTACTATTTAGAATACCTTTCTTTATTTTGGAAAATGGGAATTTGGCAACATTGATTTGCTTACACATCACTATTTTTTTACCTGATACCGGGTTTTACACGGTTCAAGTATTGAACTCAATTCTGCTTGCTAGTTGAAGAGAGGGGTTGAGAAGAAACGGAAAGAGTACATATGCGTCTGCACCGGCAAGTGGTTTCAATTTTCTTGCTTTACTTTTAACATTTTCGTTGTTTCCCATTTAAAGAACCAAAAACTGGAATTCAACAAAACTGGAAACTAGGAAACGCAAAGGGAACGAACCAGAATTGCTTTAAAGTACTTGAATCGTGTAAATCGGGTGTAATTAAATTTGAAAAAAAACTAGTTTTAATATCTTTTTGGAACCATGCTATGGTGTTAGTGATTCTGCGTCGATGGAAGAAACTATTGACATAATCCCGGATTAGTCAAATTTCGGAGATTCTTCTATTTACGTTTGACACTTTGATACCATCAAGGTATTACTCAAATCAGTACTTTTACTTGTATCAAACAAGGTATCGATACCTACTCAGTAACGAAAAAGTATCGAGTACTTGTACATAGAAGTACGACTTTGCATATTTTTCAAAGTTATTGTATTTTTTCACAAAAAATATGCATTTTTAAAAGATTATTTATCTTTTAATATGTTTTCATACAATAATTTAAAACAACAATGAGGTTGTTCACGGTTGCCTGGTCATCAGCTTATGCGGTTATGTGGTTATATTCTTTATTCAGTTTGCACCAATAAAATACACTACACAATAATAATTTTTAAGCAGCAAATCTAATAACCAGGCAAGCGTGAACAACCTCAATTATTATACCGGAGCGCACTTGTGCACAAGGGTATTATAACTTTGTTCACATAACGGTTGTTTGTCACACACGATCCAGAAAATAAAGGTCGCGCCATTCGCGGACCGCTAACCCTCTCTTTGTCGATTTGACAGCATCCACCCAATCGCTGACGTCATAAAATACTTTTGTGTACATTCACTGTTGCCAACTTGATGCTTTTCGCGCCAAATTTAGTGGGTATTCAAAACGCGAAAATTCTTGAGTTTGGTGCTTGGTGCATTTTGGTGCTTTTGTTTTTAGTTTGAAGACACCAAATTAGAAAATGTTAAAAAAATGGAAGCAAAATTTATAGCAAACGCAAGTGTGGTAAGGGACTTTACAAAAGTTTTAACAAAATCATGGCACAGTGACATAAGCGACAACAAAATATGTGGCAGCACCTTCAATCATGCCAGAAGAAATCGGCCGTCGTGCAAGAAACATTGATTTTTATTAATTTGAATCGGAATCCTTACAATAAAATTATGTATGTATATAAAGTCCATAAAATATACCAATAAAAATTTGGTGGTTTTTCAAATTCAAAACTTGGCAATACTGCCTTTTGTTCGATGCTTCCTCTTTTTCTTGTCGAGTTCGTCTTGCTCTCTCATTCTGATATTTTTTGACGTCACGGCCAGTTGCTCTCAGCTCGATTGGCGCAATCTTGTATTCTATCATTCTTGCTTGACACTTGTAAAATCAGTTCTAAACTGCACGACAAACGAGACGGACGTCGTGGAGCTAAAATTTAATTAATGTATGTACGTATTTATGTATGTTTTTGATGTGTTAGCTTTTTCTTGTATGTTAATAAAAAAACTTGTGTAATTGTTGTAGCCCCTGAAGACGATCTCCGGAGGAGATTTAAATATATTGGGAAGGAATGTAATTTCATGTGTTTTAATTCCATCAACACCCTGATCTCAAAGCCGGCATTAAAAAGGATTACTTGATTAAAAATCAAAAAGGTCGCAGTACAACACGGTTACAGATTTATTTTATTAAAAAACTATTAAAACCAGTAGGCATTGGAGTTCTACTGTGAATATCTACTAAATGGTTAGAGTAATCGATTAACTACCTCAGACCTTTTTTGTAGAGCATTTAATTCCCTGTAGAAATAATTAAAACTTATTTGACATTAATTATTTTTTAGTAAGTTACAAAATTCAAAACAAAAAGTTATTTTCCTTAAAATACTTCAATTTCTGACCTTGAATATCTTTTAAATGGTTAGATTAATGAAAAGAGTATATGAGACCATTTTTGTAGAGCGTTCAATTTCCTATAAATATTGACGATGCAACTGGTTTAACGATCTATTGGTGATAAGATATGACCATTTTTATATGAGACTAAATTGAAAATGGAAAACTATGATGAGCATAACCTTCCCGTTAATATTAAGAGCTCAGATTAGGTAAGTACTTTCTAGAGGTACCTAGGAATTAGTTTTCGTGTGTCGGATCCAAAAAAAGACTTGATTTTTTGACCCACCCTAATATATACGCTCAAGATATGTACCATTCATTCCAGCGTATTTCGGAATAGGGTTGCCACCTAAATTTTGGAGTAAGGAATTTACTTAATAGATATCCAAGTCCATTTTTCCAAAATTTCCATTTCCAAAATATTTTCTTAAAGCTATCCAAATCGTGAAAACTTTAAAAAGTACATGCGCTCCGGGCAAAGCTCGGTCAACCTGGTACTCTTTGTTTATTGCGGTTGCGTGAGGCAATGTTTCAAATTCTGATAGACAAATGTGTTGCGAACACTGAAGGTACAATGCCGAAAAGTTCAAACAATCTTCGAAGCAATCGAATCATATTCGTAAAAGAAATGTAGGTATACGCTCTTATACGCCTTATCGTGGGTTTATCCCGAAATTTATTCAATCGCCCGTAGTGAATACCCGGAAACGAAAATTAAAAGCGAGCCGGGTCGAGGAAAATGAAACTCATGATTTTATATTTTTGATCAAAATTCCATCATGCAGTTTTCAAATCCGGCAACTGTAAATGGAACCGGGTATAATTTACAACACACTCTAACCTAACCTAACCTACATAATTTTTTAGTATTAATACAATTTCAACCTGCGGAACCATTTCAATTGTAATATTACGATCAAATTTGGGGCAATAAAAAAATTGCATGTCAAAATCTATGAAAAATAAATTTACCGGAATTTTCTATTCGGAAAATTTTTGTAAATCTTCCTTGGGCAGAGACAAACACAGCAAAAAAGACAGCTCAAATGTGGCAATCCATTCTAGAGCTATACTCGGTATTACGCAGGCAAATTTATTTTATACTTCTGTATAGAGATTTTTTTGTGCTCTGATTTTGGCTTTCTAGGTAAGCTAAGTGAAAGTTATTGGGTTTTATATTAAACTAAATTTAATTAAATTTCACTAGCATACATTCTAATTTTGCCAAGTCATTTGTTGCTATCATAGCTGTTGTATCCTTTGTAGTTAACTGTAATCGTTTTGTTTTTGCACATTTTTATTTTTGTTTACTTCTAGTAATTCTTTTCACAGCTGTGTGCGTTGCGTTTATTAAGTTTCATAATTACAGTGATACTCAAACTGTTAGCTACATTTATTTAAAGCTATTTACATCAGCTCCTAAATTGCTATAATTTATTTTGTTTGTCTTTTTATTAACAAGTGTTATTAAATCTTTCAATATGAAGTGCGATCTTGATACTTGCCAAATTAAAAGCGTTTCTGAACGCTACTTATCGTGCTGGCTTTGTGATGGTATTTGTCATCTGAAATGTGCTGGTTTGACAGGAACAATTCTGCACGCTATTAATGATCGCAAGGGCCTTCGCTGGTCTTGCGTAAAGTGCAGGTCAACCGAAGTTGATCTTTTCAAGTTATTTAGGCAAACCAGAAATGGTTTTACAGAAATAGAAAGAGAATTGTCAGTACTGATAGAAAAATTTAAGCATTATGAAAATGTGTTTAAATCATTTAAATGCTTAGATACCTTGCAATCTGTTAAGGATATCCGTCTGTCTAAACGTAATCGTCTTCATAGTCCATCTAAGAAAATTATTACCGTTCCACGTCAGAATAATCTTCCGACTGACTTAATTAATCTATCCTCTCCATATCCTCCAGCATCAGAATCCTCAGCCTCCAAAGAGCGTGTAACGAAATCTGCTTCGAATAATACCGAGCCTGAAGGATCTTCCCCATCCCCCATTGATGTGGTGGCATCGTCTTCAAAGCCTCCACCGCCTTACCTATCCTCAACTAGTAACGCAGTAATTCAACCCTTTCCACCGGTACTCCAGTCTGATACAAGGAAACTAGTTGTGGCCCCGCCAAAGAAGTCAATCTTTGTCTCTAGATTTTCGAGAGACACTTCCGAAGACGATATAAAGTTTTATATCTCATCAAAAATTAGAACTGTCGACTTAAGCATCAGAAAATTTAATTTTAAATAGGAAAGAAATATTGCTTCATTTAAAACTGACGTAAATTTAGATAATTTTATTGCGCTGCTTAGTAGTTCTTTTTGGCTCCCCGCAGCTTTCGTTCGTGAATTTGACTATAGGCCCAAAAAAGGAAATAACTTAGCTAATATTCCCCGTCATAATACTGAACCAAAAAACTAATTATTAAATCTGCTTTAAGTATTTATTACCAAAATGTAAGAGGCTTAAATGCTAAATTTACGAACTTGTACCTTAAAGGCCTTGAATGTAATTATAATATTCTCTCTTTCACTGAAACTTGGCTGAAACCTCACGTTTTCAATTTAGAGATTCTTTTAAATAATTATCATATCTATAGACAAGATAGGGAGGACAGAATCGGCGGTGGCGTACTCTTCGCTGTAGACTTTTCAATACCATCTGAAGACGTTAGTCTTCCATACACTGATTCAGTAGAATTCAAATGCATTCGTGTACAGGTTGGAAAAGGGTCTATTTACTTAGCTCTATGCTATATCCCTCCCCGATCTGACACATTGGTGTATTCACGACTCATCTCTTTACTCAGTTAATTTACTGACTAAACCTTCTGATTCAATGATTGTGTTGGGTGATTTTAATTTACCGAGCATATCATGGAACATCATTGACAATGATATCGTACCTTTCGCGTCTAGTGCGTGCAACAACGTATTTTTAGAGGAGATGGCTGAACTCTGCCTAACTCAGGTTAATGTACTTCACAATAAGTTTGGTAAAGTATTAGATCTTGTTTATGTTGATGATGCATCTAAGTCCATTGTAAATAAGTGTGATCCACTAGTTTTTCCCGAAGATGTGTACCACCCTGCTATGGAGAGGGCACCGAAATTGCGCATATGGACACTGTACATTTAGACATTATTTCGGTTTTTATGCTGTATGCTTTATTTCGGTTTTTGCCATATGCATTATTTCGGTTTTCAACCGAAACTGTGCATGTATGCATTACTTCATATATATATGCATTATTTCGCTTTTAAAACGAAAGTATGCATATGCATAATTTCGGTATTTTCTCATATGCATTATTTCGGTTTTCAACCGAAACTGTGCATGTATGCATTACTTCGGGTTTTTCATATGCATTATTTCGGTTTTCAACCGAAACTGTGCATGCATGCATTATTTCGGTTTTTGTTATATGCATTACTTCGGTTTTCAACCGAAACTGTGCATGTATGCATACCTTCGTATTTCACATATGGGTGTTTCCATACAGCCGTACGCGACATTCGTACGCTTATAGAGTAACGTAAATCTATCAAAAATAGAAGTTACAGAAAAAAAAGATTACGGTTATGTTGCAACCAAAGGGTACTACGATTGAGAAAAAAATAAGCAGCCTCGAAATTTTGGTGTGGAAAATATCCGTTCAAAACCAGATGATAACGTACGCGACAAAAAAAGAAGTGGTTTTAAGGCACATATACATATATGCGAAAGTCTGCGAATCATGAGAGTTTTTCTTTTCTTTAAAAATTCCTAAACTAAGCTAAATAATGTACCTTTACAATCCTTTCATATTTTAAGAGAAATTATCTCTGGCTAGTTTTATATTAAAAAAAAAAAACAATAACGTACGCGACATAACGTACGCGACAGATTTTTCCCCCATACAATATTTTTACTAGTAACACATACTAAATTAAATTTTTTCAGTCCTTCTCGCCACTGTTTCGCGTTTTCAAAACCTTTTTCCGCCATCTGAATACAAAATTTAAAGTTATAAAGCCGTTTGAATTCATTTGCTTGCATTTTCGGTTTACATTTTCATGGAAACACGCATATATGCGAAAGTCTGCGACTCATGGGAGTTTTTCTTTTCTTTAAAAATTCCTAAACTAAGCTAAATAATGTACCTTTACGATCCTTTCATATTTTAAGAGAAATTATCTCTGGCTAGTTTTATATTAAAAAAAAAAAATAACGTACGCGACATAACGTACGCGACAATTTTTCTCGTAAGTAATAAAATGTATTTATTGAGAACTCTTCTCGCCACCGTTTCATTGTTTTACAACTATTCTTAATAATTTAAATGGAAAATTTGCAATTAACATTGGTTTTGATGTATTTGATTGAAATTTTCGTACTTCAAACTTTAAAGGGTAATAAAATATATTTTTACTTCGGTTGGAAAGAAAATTTTACTGTATATCTTTAACTGGAAGAATTCTCGCTTAAGAATTGTAATCTGCATTACCTGCGACTGCCAATATACAAATGACATAGACAAACAATGTTTTTGCATAACGTACGCGACATTAGAATACTGTCAGAAGCAAATCAAAAAATTACCGTTATTCGAGCTCTAACTTCTCCTTTTTCTCATTTTTATAGTTAGTTGTTATTGCAAATTTGATTTTAAGATGTAATTGTAATGTTTCAAATCTCTTAATTTAGTTAATAGGAAAGAGAAAATAGTTCATTTCATTAGAGAAAACTGAGTCGAAGAGACATTCAGTTTTACTCTTCCATTTTTGAGTTTTAAAATTCCAATAAGCTGAAATACTTCTATAATATAAAAATTCGAGTATTTTTCTCTTATTAATTCGTCTTAAAAACCCTTTTCAGTTGTTTTTATTTTTTCAGTCCAGGGGGTAAATTCTCGTTCTGTGATAAGATGAAGTGAAAAAAAAGTTTTCATTTTCGTTTTCACAACTACTTTTCACTCTGCCTTTTCACAGACACTCATTTTGCGATTCTGGTTTGTGCTGTGAAAATCGTGTTCCATTACCACTATAGTCGTGAAACTTTTGCAACTGTGCTATTGAATTTTCGAAGTAAATGTCAAAGTTGAGGAAAACGTAAACAAAACATGTCGGGAATAATTATTTTATTAGAATTATCGCAAAGAATTCGAGGCGAGCAAAGGTAATAAAGGTGTAAATTTTTTAAATGCAGTATATACAATTTAACGCATTATGTATTTCAGAGATAATTTGAGAGTGCTCCGGCGCAGACTTCGCGACGACCAAAATCCCTTTGAGATTATAACAGACGAGCATTTCATTGATTTATATCGGTTCCCTAAAGCTTTGTGCCTGGAATTAATTAATGAATTAATGCCATTTATGCCGAACTCGCAACGGAGACATGCTGTTCCGAGTCTTGTAATTATTTTAAGCGCCCTGCGTTTTTTTGCCACTGGTAGCTTTCAAAGAAGTGTGGGGCAAGACAGTTTATCTGCTTTATCCCAAACATCAGTCAGCAGATGTGTGCAAGTGGTGGCAACTGCACTTAATAACATAGCCCACAGACATATAAAGATCCCAAAACGCGAAGACTTCCCGGCGCTCAAAATAAAATTCATGGAAAAATACCAATTTCCTGGAATAATCGGACTCATAGACGGAACGCACATCAAAATATCAGCCCCGAAGAAAGAAATTGAGCATGTTTACTATTGCCGAAAGGGTGGGCACTCCAAGATTTGCCGCTATGGAGATATCTTACGAGGTTATAAGTGATGGTCAAAATTGCGGTAGCCAAGCATACGAACCAAATATTCGCTTTGGTTTTTAGAAAGCTAACTTTAAAAAGCTCAAGAAAGAACTGTCTAAAATGTCGTGGCATGCATATAAAGAATATATTGAACAAAGCGTTGCACTTTGTAACTTTACTTTACATAAATTATTTAAAAAGCATGTGCCTAAACTAGGGCTGCCAGATATCTCTGTTGCCAAACCGGGACACTTTAGGGAGGACCACTCGCTCCCTTCTCTTTCATTTCGACGTGCGAAAGGATGTAGTGAAATTTTATTTTGACATACAAAAACAAAAACATAAAAACATGAGATCATGACAACATTACAACGTACGCCAACAAAACAAAACAACTTATCACAACTAAAGCACAGAGAATTTTTCACAATGCATGAACCTTTTTTATTCTTTATAAAAATACAGTTTATACTAAATATATGAAAAAACATAAAAGTAAAATTTTTAAACTTTGTGCTAAACTCGGGAAAATTCAATAAATTTTCATACAAATTTGCAACATTCTAATCAGACTTTTTATGAAAATTTTTAAAATGAAGTTTTGCAGCCCATTAAATTTTAGTTAATTTTTGGTATTGTTTTTACTGATAGTTTCTTCCATACAATCTATGTTCGATAATTCTTTTTATATGAAAGACACTGTCAGCAAAAAAAATAAATGCTAAAAATCAACGAAATTTGCTGGCAACTTCAGACTTGCACTTTATTAATTGGCTCAAAAGCTACATTTTCAAAATTTTTCTAAAAGATCTGATTAGAAATTGTGATCTGATGAAAGAGCCTCCGAGCCAATAATTTTGTACGGCATTGTACTTATAAGTACTCTAGGTTTCATGAAAGAAAAAAATTTAAGTACAAGATAACATTAATATATAAGTCATATTTTTCGTTGCTGTGAACTTGTTTCAAAACTTCTGTCTTTTCCTTAATATAATTGTAAAACTCTGTACACGTCATTTTGAACGTATTTAGGTACATATACTAATCATCAACTATTGCTTGTGCAAAGTTCAATTATCTCGAAATGTGACTATTTCATAAATTAAAGCGGTGCACTGAGAGAAAGAAGTTTAGAATTAACAAAACATGCTAAATTTAAAAATACGCATATGAAAGAGCACCAACCCAACTCGTAATACATTTAAACATACAAATTTTAGTATTTAGTATATAAATATTCAATTCAAATACGCCCATATTAAAATGAAGCGATTTGCAATTACCGATTGCTTTTTCATAATTAAGTTAAAAAAATATTTAAATTCCATGGTGGTTGTAATGGGAATTGAACCCTGACCCTCTGGAAATTAGCAAATTGTGGCAAGCATCTTCGCGTACTCAGCTACAGCCAGACATGTAAATGTGCATTTAAATGTTGAGTTTGAATCAACACCACGCGTGCGTGTTATGAAAGTATTATTTTTAAATGCGAACATTTTTAAACGATAATCAAATAGAAAATATTCGTGTTTACTATGCGTTATTTCCCTCAGTGGCTTTATAACATTTTTCTGAATATAGAAACGCGTTTTTTGTGTAGTGATTTTTGAACTTTTATTCAAATTTGTGCAATCAAATCAAAAACCGGGACACTAAAACGATATCCGGGACATTTTAAGGTTGGACCGGGACACCGGGACAAATAGTCTAAAACCGGGACATGTCCGGGAAACCCGGGACGTCTGGCAGCCCTAGCCTAAACGCATGTATGTTCCTGAAGAACAAGCACAGTTATGGTTCACTAAAGAACTGAGAAATTTGAAAAACAGAAAGTCACGTTATTTTAGATTACACAAAAAACCCGGTTTACACTCATACTATATAAAATACTCACTTTTGCATCCTAAGTTTTTTGAATTAAATAAAAAGTGTTATAAAGCTTACTTGTGCAAAATCAAACGGCGTATAATATATAGCCCCAAATCATTTTATGACTTCCTAAACTCCAAGCGAAATGTACGTGGGTTTCCTTCCGCCATGAAGTATCAAAATACCGTCTCTAGTGATAATCAAATGATTTCTAACATGTTCGCTCAGTTTTTTAAATCCCATTATTCCATTAACTCACATGCTAACTGACTATCCTTTTAAACTATGTCCAATGAACTCAATGAATATCCCAGTAATATCTCCCGATGATGTAGTAGTTTATCTGAAATCCTTAAAGCAGTCCTTCAGTTATGGTCCTGACCATATCCCTACTTGTATTCTTATAAATTGTGCTGATTATCTCTATGAGCCGTTAACAGCGTTATTTAATTTGTCTCTTAAAGAGGGCGTTTTTCCAACTATATGGAAGGAGTCGTTCATAACGCCTTTACATAAAAGCGGTAGCAGATCTTCAGTGGAGAACTACCGGGGAATAGCTAATTCCTAAATTATTTGAAGCAATTATAACAAACAGTGTTGCCACTATTGGTCTTTTCCGACCAAATTTGGTCGCTTCTTTTTCATTTGGTAGGCTGGTAGGCAAAGTAAGATTTTGGTCGGATAGTTGAATTAAGTTTTTGATTTGCTTGACCTTTTCTTGTCGGTCCAAACAGGAATCTCGATAAACTGTTGTTGGGTAGCTCGTTTCCAATGGGATGGTGACAATAATGAGGTTGACTTACGTTCGATGATTTTGGGATTACCGGTGTACGGTGGTCTAACTGCTGCCAAATGAATAGACCAGAATTTATATCCACATACTCTTTATTCCCACAGGTAACCACTTGGTTGGGGATTTGCCGGAAGGAATGTGGTGGAACAATGCCGATAAGTATATTCCCCAGGTGTACGCACTCTGAGGATTGAATTTAACCAAACCAATGTCGTCAGCTTTGATAAATTGCTTGGTTAGGATTACTTCCTTCTTGCGATGGCTGATGCGTGTTGTTCGGTCCGTGTCCCATTCCAAAAAGAAAGAATATTTTTCTAGCCTCGTGGTATGTGACCACCGATTCTTTTATCGTATGTCAGTGTGGCGTTTTCATAGTAGCCATGTCAATTCGTGTCTATACCGATATGACGTTTCGTGTCTTGAATAACTATTGGTGACGTACATTCATCTGGCAAGTCCCCCCATTTTGAAGTTTAGCTTTGACAGTTTTGTTATGTTTACATTTCTCATAATCGTTCTTATGTCTATTATTTGGCCTATAAAAAGAATAGATCATTATCCCCCTCTCATCTTCAGCGACACGTTAACAAAAAAATGTGGTGCGTTTAGTAGGGATATGAGAATGGTGGTTCGAATGCGATTCACGGGCTGTGGTTTGATGGACGTTAGACCTTACATCGAAATCGTTCTACATGATCTTCATCAACCTCATCCTGACTCGTTCAGTTCGCCTTTGAGCGCATATGTATGTACACATGTTCCGTCTTTCCTATTTAGTTTCAGTACGCATTACTTAAGCTACGGTAGATGAAAGGCATGGGTAAATGATTTGGTTATGAATCTTTTCCTGTTTGCTTTGATCGATTTACTAGCAATGTACTGAGGATATAATATAACAAAACTATGGATATAACAAGACTAAACTTAATTAATTTATTCAGTAATTCAATTACAAACGTAATTATCATTTCAATATGGCAGAATCAATGGAATATGGAGGCCCGCCATATATTCATCGAAATTCTTGAGAAGGCGAATGTACTGAATGAGTTAACGTGTTGTGATTAAATCGGCGGAATAATTGCCTCTGTTTAGCATTGATCAGTTCATATGAATTCGAACCATGTTTCGGTGAAACATAGGCTCTAATTTTTGGTGGGGCTAGTTTTTGCGCATAGCCCTCTCCGGCCACGGACTGTTTAGGATTGGGAATGTACACTTCCGAGCCTATCTCGAAATGGCGTTCTCTTTTGCGGGTCAATGCCCGTNGAAACATAGGCTCTAATTTTTGGTGGGGCTAGTTTTTGCGCATAGCCCTCTCCGGCCACGGACTGTTTAGGATTGGGAATGTACACTTCCGAGCCTATCTCGAAATGGCGTTCTCTTTGCGGGTCAATGCCCGTTGCGCGGTTTGTTGATATTGTACGAACTGTCTGTCTCGAAATTCATCAGCCAGAATTTTACGTTGTTCCACCTCCTGGGTATGGTATGGATTTACATCCAATAATAATTTATATTTGTTTCCATCTTTCACATATTCACGACCGGTGTGTAGGAAATATGGCGTGTAGCCCGTGGCTGAATGCACTGAAGTGTCAATATCATGAATAACACGAGAAAGATAGTTTTCCCAGGAGGAATGTTTAAGAAGATCAGCCATGTGAGCACGTAATCCAAGTTTAATGCTTTTGTTTGTCGCCTCTACCTGATTGGCTTGTGGATGGTACAAAGGCGTTTTCATGTGTTTGATATTATAATCGGCGCAAAGCTTTGCGAAAGTTTGACTGATGAATTGAGTACTATTATCTGATATAATGCGTTCGGGGCAGCCATTCACCGAGAATATATGTCGAAGATAATTGACTACGGATATAGGGGTTTGCGTTTTTTATGGGCTGCGTCCAGACATATCGCGAGTAACAGTCGATGGCTATGTAGACCCATTGGTTACGATTTTTAGACATGGGCAGCTTACCGACGAAGTCAATCGATAATTGTCTACCCGGTCGTTTTGGTTCTCTATATTCGCCGTGAGGTGTTTTGGTGCTCTCATTACTTGGTTTAATGCGGTGGCATAGTTCACATTGCCGAACGTACTGGTAAACGGACTCATACATGTTTGGCCAGTAATAGCGTTGTGAGATACGTCTGTAAGTTTTCCAAACACCCTGATGCGAATGTTGGTTGTGGTTTTCATCGAGAACTTTGGCTCTCTCAGAAGATGGTACACAAAGTGTCCACAGTATTTCCGCACTTTATTTGGAAAATTTCAATCGATGATATAGGAGGTTGTTCTCGATTTTATATCTATCTAATGGTTGTTTTGAGGCCATGGCATGCATTTTGTTGTACCATTTATCGCACGTGTTTGGGTCAATGTTGATCACGGATGTGATTGGGGTACGATTAACGTGAAAATTACTCTGAAGGTCAATTGGATTTCTACGAACGATGTTGAGAAGAGCAAACGAACGAGATAAGGCGTCAGGAAGTTCTAAATGTTTTCCTGGTTTATGAATAATTTTGGGATCGTATGGTGATAATCGG